GTTGATGGGCAAACTAATTTTGCATCTGTATCACTGCCGAGAAAAGCATTTAATCTGTTTTTCTTTCGTTTAATTATTTCATGTTTCTCAACAGAAGCTTTTAAAAACTGTATTTCTGTTTGAGAAACATCCATTCCTTGCTTCAGAAAGAAAGCACAGAGTAGGAGAAAATAGATATGGAAAATCCTTGGGAAATCTTTGTATTGCTAAAAGAGTTCTGAACTCACAGCATACCAGTAAACACTCTCTTAACTGGTGCTTAACACCCAAGAGGAAAAAGGGGGAAAGAAACCTCTCACTACCAGGAAACAGTCCATATTATCCATGAAAACAATCTAAGACTCATATGAATATTGCTTTTGAAGCCATGGTCTAAACTGGGTAGCAGCTTTGCCATTTTGTTTTTAGCAGAGAACAATTTGGAAATTAAAAGTGCAAGTTTTATTCAAGGCTGCATAGCATTAATTTTGTGATTGAAAAATGTCAGGTACTTCAGGTAGAAAATAAAAACATAAAACCTGTAGCAAATAAATTTCTCTTCCAAAGTGTCATGTAATATTTTAAAGGGCTTCTCTTTAGCTTTTTCTAGAGATTCAGATCTCTGAAACATTTGCCTATCACAGTAAGCCTTTCAGGACACGACTCCTGTGTAAGGTGTTCTTTACAACTGAGTGGCACGTTGTCATTTAATCTTTCAGAGTTTACCTTTAAACCAACTTGGGGCAAAAGACACCACTTCTCCATCAAAAGACCACTGTCTCTGGGCAGCTTCCTGGTACCTCAGCTGTCAAAGATACTTCCCCCTACAAGCTCACTTATCTGCCTGTCATCAGACTCCCCCTTGTGTCTGAAATAGAAATGTAGTACCAATATCAGAGTTGTTTGTAGGTATGATATAGAAGTTTACACTTACTCCCCTCCATAGGTGTTGGTGATCAAGTTTCTCACACTTTCCCCAGAGCCTTTCAGAATTTACTTTCTCTGTTATCCTTGAATAACACATTTCTTTTAGACTGAGTGGCATTTTTATCACACCATTTTAATAGGTGTTTTAACTCCTCTATAAATCACATACCCCAAGAAGTATTCATTTTGCTTGCATTCTATTAGACCTACAGCTTCTAGCTTGCTGTGAGTTTTGCATAGATGCCTAACATACCCATAAAACAGAAGCCAGATTTGATACTGAGTGCTTTTTCTCCCACGTAGCTTTTTTTTCAGACTCACAGCTTCTTCCATTACAGACAAATCAATCAAAAATTCAAAGCATCATTATCACCCTCACAGCCATCTCCCTGCTACTCCCCAGAAGTATGTTGTCTTAACTAAATATAACAAACTCCTTGATGGAGAATGGATTCCTAATGAAGGACCTAGAGCAGTCTCTTAATTTCTTTAGTATACAGGCAGACAGCATGGATCATTTGACATTTTGGAATACAGGTAGAGATGAGATTAAATAATTGCATAAATCCAGCCTTCCTGATACAAAAGCTATTTCTCTTCTTACATATATTGTGAGATAAAAACGTTGTAAAACTCATTCCTGATTCTGTTCTATTGTCTTCCATCCAACAGACCTGCTGGAATAAAAAAGCTCCAATCTTCATCACTTATGTGAAACCCCACTTACCAATAGCAACTCTTTCAACTTTTCTTAACATTTCAGGAAGACCATGACTATTTTATAGTTTCAGTAGTCTAGATCATTGGGTTAAGTCCTTCAGAGTGACAAAAACTTTATAAATTGTTTTAACACAAAGGTTACTGGGGCCAAAAAAAGGTCTTCATATTAAATGAGTATTACTGATTCCTAATAGCACCAAAAGACTGGTTGCAGATCAACTGCCTACTGATGCTGTGTACCAGCATAACACATAGTAAGAAGGAACTTTAAAGCACTAGATGAGCAATTAAAAACTGCCAAACTGATTCTTTCTAATTGAGTGTCACAGATGGTGAATGAAAATCACAGATTAATACTATTTTTTAACAGTGCTACGCTGATCTTAAAAAAAAACACCTTTAAAGGACCACTACCTATCCCTAACTTTCTGGAACTTAAATTCCTGAATTATGCGATTTGATGTAATGTGTATTTAAATGCTATTATTTTAGTTCATTTTTTTATCAGACTCACAGATGTTCCTTCCCTTTGAGGCATACTTCAAGTGTATCTTAAAATCACCTGCTAGCACAGATTATAGATGCCCTACTCTAACTATGGATAGGGCTTCTGGGCATATGTAAATCATATTACATGCTCCAGTTTCTACGTAGCAGAGAATACAGCTCAGATGTACAAGCACAAATTGCTGTGTAGCCATTTGGCAGGCAACACCTTCTGCTTTTTCTGTAATGTTTTTAATGCATGTATTTTGAAGAGATTTGCATTATTTTACACATGGTACTTTTTTCTTCTTCCTCTATTCAGTAACTGAAGCGGCATGAGCATGCTGAGGAAGCTCAGGAAACGAAACATTTTAATTGCATCCTAGCTTAAAACTAACTTTGCATGCAAGAACCACATTTATTATTTTGGCCTAATTCCTACCCTAGGACATCTGAGATAAATCTGACTGTTTCAATAGATTAAACTTTGTCACCACTTAGTTTCTTATTAAGGATAAGAATAAGCCATATTGCTACTTCAGCTATACAGACTTAATAAAATTGTTAAGTACCTTTTTCACTTTATTGCTATCTTTAGTATGTAATTTGTTCAAATATATTGCTCTCCAAGTATATTTAGAGGATATTATGATTTTAGACCATATTCTTTATAGAACTTGCATGGACATTACTGACAGTATTGAATGGGAAACGTGCATATAATATATGGTGCAGATGGGAGAGCAGAATTTTAACCCTGATGCTGTTTAGCATTGTAAAAATGCCAAACAGTTCATTGATAGTTATTAATACATAAGCAAAAGCTAGAATCATTTAATTAGAAGACAAAATTATTTTTGCATATCTTTCCCT